CATGAACCAAATTTCTTGAATGAAGAAATCCTCTTTTAAATTAAAATTAACTTTATTTTCTATCAAGTAAGATGCACTTGGTGTGTTGTTTTAGAAATTTTTTTATCTTCATGAATATTTAGTTCATCTTTTTTTTTTTTTTTTTCCAGTACTGGGGCTTGAACTCAGGGCCTGCACCTTGAGCCACTCCACCAGCACTTTTTTGTGAAGGGTTGTTTTTCTAGACAGGGTCTCATGAACTATTTCCCCGGGATGGCTTCAAACCACAGTCTACTGATCTTTGCCTCCTGAGTGGCTAGGATCATAGGCATGAGCCACAAGTAGCCAGCCATTCTTTTTTTGGAAGGTACTGGTGTTTGAACTCAGGGTCTCACACTTGTGCTCTACCACTCAAGCCACAACCCAGACCTTTTTGCTTTCGTTAGTTTTTCAAATGTGTCTCTAGCATTTGCACTACCTGGCTTCAGTCTGTGAGGTCTCCTACCTCCATGTCCCAAATGCATGGGATTTCAACCATAAGCCTCAAAATCATCATTTTCATTTTCCTATAGCTGAACACTTGGAGATTCCCAGTTATTCATCATCATCCACAATGCTTTCTTCTTACTCCTCTTAATGTTTACTGACTGACCCATCAGAAAAAGGATGTCATGATTTATATTCCCACCTGTAGGTTATAAGACAGTCTGTTTCTTTCCATTCTGGCTCACAATGGGTAGTTTTATTTTTAAAGACTAGAGACTATTTCTTGTATTTCTCTAGTGATTATAAACAGAACTGGGAACATTAGTAAACACCAAAATACTTTTGGTAAATGGATTAATATCGAGTTTTCTCTACTATTTATGACTATACATTTTTAAGTATTAAAACATTCATTCTCTCAAGATATTCAGCCCATATATTGACGGTCCTTGACCTGCCTACTAAAAGTGAATATGGCATTTAAAAATTAAAAACTTATGAGTTATTGAAGCATAAATTAAAATGCTGATGACTAATTTCAAATGTAAGGTATATAGAAGCTACTCTTACAAGTTGTCTCAGAGTCCTAACGAAGTCTCTAGGTAGCAAACAATTTGTCTCATTTTTCTAAGAATAAGAAGTGCCAAAGCTTCTCCTCTGAGGATTAGGACTGTGAATTTAGGATAAGAAAATCCTCCCATCCATTAGCTATAAAGAGTGTTCAGAGTCAGGGGAATAGCGCCAGAGAGAAAGTCAAAACCTGGTGCGGACTTCCATAGTAACAAGATTTTCTTCAATATGGGGTGGTTGGGGGGAATCAACACTAAAATTTCCAAGGAGAGTTTTAATGTTTCTATCCACTTCTACATGAGTGCTAGAATGACTAGATGAATATCCTATTTAGCTATTTGATTTAATTTTTTTTCTTTTATTATTCATATGTGCATACAAGGCTTGGGTCATTTCTCTCCCCTGCCCCCACCCCTTCCCTTACCACCCACTCCGCCCCCTCCCTCTCCCCCCACCCCCTCAATACCCAGCAGAAACTATTTTGCCCTTATTTCTAATTTTGTTGTAGAGAGAGTATAAGCAATAATAGGAAGGAACAAGGGTTTTTGCTGGTTGAGATAAGGATAGCTATACAGGGCATTGACTCACATTGATTTCTTGATTTAATTTTTAAGTCTTCTGTTCAATTATCAGAAAGACCATACTAAAGTAATAATTGGTCCCGCTTTTCCAATGTGCAAATCTTGTCACCTTCAGTAAAACAGTATAACCTTAAAATGACTAATTTGAAACCTTATTTAAAAGGATATAGCCTATAATTCCTTCATAATGTTTTCTTCCCTATGATTGGTGGAACATGCTGGAATGAGTTTGTAGCTTATTAAAAATATGACTAGGGTCAAAAGATATGGATTCTAGTTCAATATCTGCCAGTAATAGTTATCTTTAATTGAATCACTGCATGTCTTGGAGCTACAGCTTTCTCTGCTATAAAGTAAAAATCTGGGTAAGGTCAGCGTTTCCTAAGGTGTGTGCTGTGAAACACATGTCTTATGAGCTCTGCCCCTGGAAAAAGTGTTTCATGAATGAATGCATTTGGGAAGTTCTGCATAATTGTATCTCAGAATTTCCCAGTATACATTATTAAACAACTGAAAACTTATCTACTTCAGAAAAGTTAGAGGAACTTTTACTATTTTTGAAATCACACCTACTAAAATTCATAAAGCATTTATTTTATTTCTAGATGCCATACTCATTCAGAGTAGGCAGGTCAAGGACCATCACATATGGGATGAATATGTTGAGTGAATGAGTGTTTTAATGCTTCAAACACAGTTTGGGAAATGACAGACTAAGGAACCCACTGAGATTCCTGAATTTGTGGTACTATTTGTTCCACAGGTGTTCAGCAAGTTCTCTGAAACCTGCTCCTCCTTTTGCATTCTTTTTCAGAGAAGTTCACCATCAACCAGTCAGTCTCCCAAACCATAATCCTAAGGGTCATGCTTGATGTTTCCACCTCATTCACTCCCTCAGAGTCAATTTTACACGAAATCCTATAGATTCTACCATCTTAATACATCTCCCATCCAATCCCTTCCCCCTATGGTCTGCTTCTGCCTCTACTGAGACTTGTAGCACATCCCACCTGAATTGTCTTCAGCCCTAATTTCTTCCTTCTTCAGTCTGTTGTACCTGATCTCCAAATGCAAACTCAGTTGTCCCAGGGGCTAAAATACTTCAGAATTTATTATTTATTATATTTTCCAGATTATTAAATTCAAACTCCTTAGTTTAGAATGTAAGCTCTTTAGGAGATCCTTCCTACCCTTCCTCCCACCTGGTTGACTCTTCTGTGTCTGTCCTGACAAAATAGAATTACATGGAGGATCTATCAGGCATGACGCTATAGGTTCTCCCACACCTGCAGATATTGTTGCCTTTGTCTGGATTAGCTCCTCCCTGTCATTAAACATGAAGTTTATCTCCCCACTGGGTGAGCTTTCCTGATCTGGGAATAGACTGTTTTCTAATAGTGGCTTCCTTACTTCCTTTATCCAGCAGATTGTGTGCCTTAGTAGAATAGGTGAGAATCTACTCACTTTTCTCAATGGCAAAAAAAAAAGTGACTGTTTTTTACCGTTAGCACTCAGAGAGAGAGAGTTGTCTAAGAGCTATCTAAAAAAGCACTCTGTGGTCTGTTTTTTAAAGGAGATTTACATAAAGTATCTTCCTTGTAAGGAATAACACAGCCTTGTAATAACATTTCATAACAATAGGTTATTCATTATATTTGGCATCTAGGTGCGTTTAATCTCAATAAAGCTAGTCACAAGGGAAATGAAGTAAGCGATTAGAGACACATTTGTATGCAATTATCAATTAAAAAACTTAAAGCATTTATTAATTTATAACATTTGTTGTGCAAAGTAGTATTACACTAGATATTGCAGAAGATATAAGAATGAATAAATTGTTGTATTATGTTTATTTATGGAGGAAGGAACTTAACTTACTGAAATAATTATAATTTGATGTAATGAATGAGGAAGTCCACAAGAAAGGAAGGGAGGTTAAGGGAATTGATCACCACCACCATTTTTATTTAAGACATAGAATTATTTTATACCAAATTATTGAAGCATCTACTAAACTTAAAATACAAAAGTGTAGTTGTGTTTCCAAAATATAGCTATCCCAAGTGTGAAACACAGCCAGAACTTACAGTATTGTAAATTCTAAATACCAGTTCGAATCAGATTGTGCAAAAAAGACTTGAAAGCAAAAAAACCACTTGAAAGTCCTCAAGAATATCAGGAAGTAAGAACACAATTAACCAAACTAGGGTTTGGCCAAACAGAGAAGGGAACACCCCAATTCTTAGAAAGGGAGCCAGGCTTTCAGAAATGTATAGTCAATTGTTTATCAGTGAAAAGTCAAGATACGGGAACTATCTGATAAGAAGATGTGAAAAAAAAGTTTAATGTTTCCTGCAACAAATCCAGGTCATACTCCCAATTCTAATGTTGTCAACAAAGGTAACAAAGGTGCTTTGTCTACAGCTAAACAAAAACCCAATAATTTCATTTTTCTCTTCCTTTGATCAACTTTAAAATTCTTATTTATTTTTGGCGGTAGTGGGGTTTGAATTCAAGGCTCTGAGTTTACTAGAGGGACACTCCACTACTTGAGCCACACCCCCAACCCCATTTAATCAACTTTCGATAAAGGTCAAAACAAGGACATAATTAGAAATCTAAGTTTCCTTAAGTCAAAGCTGCATCCGAATGAGCAGCATGTGAGTAATCTGGAGCGTGGTGATAAGGGAAAATGCAACATCCCACTCCTAAATAATTTCAAGAGGGAGGACAGAAATAAAGGACGAAGGTAAACGGATTTCGAAGTTCAATGGAAACGTCTAAAGCTTCCTAATCCATTGCACGGAACTGCAGAGTTGCTGGCTAACGTGCGCTCTCCTGACGGAGAGCCTCCCGGAGCTGAGCGAGAACGGAGCGTGGGTGCCCGGCGCGTTTCTGGGGTGTCTGCACGCACGGCGGGCGTGAAGGCAGGGGCATCCGACTCCGTGACAGGTCCTCTCCACGCCTCGCCCGAGGCCAGGGCGCCCGCTTCCCGGGCCAGGCCCACGGGCCGGGATTTTCCTGCTGGCTCATTCATTCTGATTCACTCGCTCCTGGAGGCGGCTCACAGGGACGCGCAGAGGAAAGGCGGGGCGCCAACTGCAGCTCGGCAGGGCGCGGCCCGGCGCCTGCGGGCCGGTGAGGGGCGCGGGCAGGGGTCGCGCGCGCGGCGGGAGGGGCGCGCGCGGCAGGCGGGGCGCGCGCGGTGGCCTGCGCCGGAAGTGAGCGGGGCGGCGCGGCGCGGCGGGGCGGAGAGCGCGCGGCCGGGCGCGAGTCGGTCCGCCCTTGGGCCGCGCGGCCCTGAGCCCCGCCTTCTGCGCCCAGGCCGGCCGCGCCCGGCCGCTCAGTGATCCGCCGCCGCGGGGCGCTGCGGCCGGCCCGCCCCCGCCGCCGCCCGGCCTGTCTGTCGGTCAGTCAGTCAGTTACGGAGCGCGCGGCTCTGGAGCTGCGGGCTCTCGCTACAGCTCCAGAGAAGGAGGCGGAGGCAGAGGCGGCGGGAGGAGCGCGAGCAGCGGCTTCCCTGCCCGGGGAAGACAGAGCGGCCGCCGCGGTGAGTGCTCGGCCTCACCCAGGGGTCAGCCGAGGGAGGAAACCCGCCGGGCGCGGGGCGGTCAGGCGCTCCCACCTCCATTTTCCCGGCGCCTGGCCCCGCCATCCGGGTGCGGTGCGAGCGGCCGCAGCCTGGGGTGGGGTCGTTGCCCGGCTCTCGCCGGCTGGACCCCGCGGGGCGAGGTGGGGTGGGTGGAGGTCGGCGGGGCCTGGGCTGCACCCCGCTCCGCCCGGGGGCCGCTCGAAGGGAGACAATGAGATGTGGGGCCGCCTGGGAGGGTGCGGTTGGGGGGCTGGTCGCCCGGGACCGCGGGAAGGAAGGGGCTGTCCCCCACCTAGCTGCAAGAACCAGTGACTCGATGACGGATTGTTTAGGCTTGGACGCCCCCCGCTTTTCCTCGATGAGTTCAGTGCAGAGATTTAGAAAGGCGGGGCGCCTTCTGCGTCCTCTAATTAACCGGCTAAGTGATCGCTCCAGTGCTTTTGAGCTCCATCTCAGCTTTCCGGGTGCATTCCCGCCGGAAATCCAAACTGCAATTCAATTGTGGGGGGGTAGTGTCCTAGTGTTAAATGAGGATGCCTTGGTTTCAGGATGGCCCGAAAGATACCCCTTTCTTATTTAGACTGTCTTAGGGATGGCCTCCAGCGTGAGCTAGCAACTGCCGTTGGGCACTAAGACGCGGTTTAGGGTGAAATAAGAGCGTTGGGAATGGCTGAGTGTTGCCTGGGTCTCTCGTGTCGCATTTCTTCGGTTCTGCGCGAGGGCAGCCGGGCAAAGCGGGAGAGTCTCCCGGTGGGGATGATGTTGCCTGCAGCACGTCTGCTGGAGAGGGGAAGAGACGCCTAAGTGTAGTCCGCGGTAAAGGAGCTGTGGGGGTGCCACCTGACAGCACGGCAAGGGCTGAGGCGTGATCGGATGGTCTGAGATCGGGCGAGTGTTAAATTCAGCAAACTGCAGGGCGGGGGCCAGCCGGTGAACAAGATCGACAGCGTGGGGTGGTGGAAGAGCGCTGGGGAGCTCGGACACCGGCGTTCACACTCACGCGCTGGGATTGGCTACCAACGTGGGAATAATGGGTGAGCTGTTGAGCGCTCTACAGTAGTTTCTATCAGGAAGCGGGGATAACGCCACCTGTTTACCTCTTCAGATGGCTTTCGAGTAGGTTCAATGAGATAATGTATACGAAATTGGTAGCACCCTGCCTGGCACTGTGGAGTTTACCAGACGATAGCCCCTTCCTCCCCTTTTCTGCTGTTCTCTAGGGATTTTCTTGGGGGAGGGCGGTGGATAAAAAGTGAGTATAGTGATTGTATATATGATACAGTGCATTATATAATGTTGAAGTAGAGGTGTAGAACGAGGCAGCGAAAGAGAAACTGTCTGAGGGGAATCTATGGAAGCCGCCGGCAGTGGAGTGGAAGCTTTGAGGATGGGTAGAATTTCAACAGATGCAGATGAGGAGGGGGAAGACATTCCACTTGGAGGTGATGCAGTCCTTTGAAAGCTGAATTCTGGAGGAAGACCATTGTGGGAGGGGCCAAGTAGAGACACTCTAGTTGAGTCTGACCTTCAAATTGTCTTGTTAGTTTGCTTTTTGTGCCATGAATTTACAAGAAACCAGAGATAGCCCTGTTCAAGTTAGAACAAAAATGTCTGCAGAGCTTAATACATGACATTTTTGTATTAGACATTTAGCGATATTAGGACTGCTGCTCTTTTCTGTTTGAATTTAATAAAGAATTATTTGTAGATGTTTCCTTGTCATGAATATTAGCTCTAGGTGGTAGAAGCAGCAACGAATTTTTCAGACTCAGATTTCACTAAGATTATACAGTAGGCAAGTGACTGACCGAACAAAAGGGGTGAAGTAGTGAGCACTTTTTGAATGTGTTTTCACAGTTTTTAACACTTTGTTTTCTGAAGAGGTGTTTTTAACCATTGCCTTTGAGGATGATTAGTTTGTAATCCCAGGACTCCAAGGCTGAAGCAGGAGAATCTTGAGTTTGAGGCCAGCCTGGGCTGCTCCCTCCCCACAGCCCCCCAAAAAAGAAAGAAAACACATAATTTTGAGGAAGAGCTTCTGAAGTTCTGCAGATGTTTGACCTGTTTTGTTAAAGTGGTTGGTTATAGCTCAGTGGTAGATCACTTTGCCTAGCATGTACAAGGTCCAAATCCCATAGCTAGCACCACAAAAAACAAAACCCTCCAAATCTAGTTTAAGATGTTTTAAGCCTGACATGGTAATCCCAACACTTGAGAGGGTGAGGCAGGAGGATCAAGTTCTTCATTAGCCTTGGCTATACACTGAGGCCCTGTTTTTTTTTAAATATGTTTTAAATTTGTAATAATAAAAATGACTATATATGACTGTTTTAAACACTCTGTATGTTTTGACTTATTTAATCCTCACCATAACTCTATGAAGTAGGTTCTATTATTATTGAGGAGGCACAGGCAATAAGTTACTTAGCTAAAGACTATAGAGATAAAGTGGTTTGAAATTAGGCAGCCTAATTCTTAAGCTTCTATTCTTTTTCTTTTTCTTCTTCATTATTTAGGATTGAACTCAGAGCTTCATTCATTCTAGGCACTAGAATGTTTTACCACTTGAACCACATGAACCACCACCACCCCCCAGCATTTTTTTTTCTTCCATTAGAATACAGTCTTGCAATTCACCCTGGCTGGCAGGGTCCTCCTTCCTTTTAAACTAACTCCCTTTTAGCTGGAATGACAGGCACATGAACCACACCTAAGTTTTTATTGGCTGAGATGGGAAGTGGCAAACTTTTTCCCCTGGGCTGGCCCGGAACCTCATCTTTTGGATCTCTGCCTCTGGAGTAGCAGGGCTTATAGGTATGGACCACTGCACCTGGCCTTAACCGTTGTTAAATGTTTAGTTTTTTTCAATTACACTAAGTACATTCATATTATTGGGTAGCTGTTAAACTGTCCATCTCCAGAACTTTGTCACTCTCCCAAACTGAAATCTACCCATTAAACAATAGTTCACTATCTACCATATCTAGTTACAACTTTTTTCTTTCTGTGTGTTAATTTGACTTCTCTGGGTACTTCCTGTAAGTGGAATCATACATTTGTTCTTTTGTGTCTGGCTTGTATCACTCAGCATAAGTCTTCAAGATTCATCTAAGTTATAACATATGTCATGATTATTTCTTTTAAAGGCTGAATAGTATTCCATTACATGTATATACCACATTTATGGACATTTGGATTATTTCTACCTTTTGGCTATTAAGAATAGTGCTGCTATGAACAATACATCTGTTGAGTCCCTGCTTTCAGTTCTTTTGGGTATTTTCCCAGAAGTAGAATTGCTATATCATATCGTAATTCTGTATTTAATTTCCGTATTGTTTTCCACAGCAGCTGTACCACTTTAGGTTCCCATTAGCAATGCACAAGACTTGCAGTTTCTCCATATCCTTATCAATACTTGTTTCCTGTCCCATCTCCTACTCATCCCCAGGGCCTTGTACATGCTAGTGTTCTACCACTAACCTATGCCCTCAAGCCCACCTTTTTGATAAGCATATAATATGGTATGTATATTTTATAATAGCTGTCCTCACTATGTGCATGGTATCTCTTCATGATTCTCATTTTCCAAATGACTAGTGATAACACACATCTTTTCGTGTGCTTATTGGCCATTTGTGTGTTCTTGGAGAAATGTCTATTTAAGTCTTTCATCCATCTTTAAATTGTGTTGTTTGGTTTTTTTGTTGAGTTGAAGGAGTTTTTGTTTTTTTTTAATGCTTTGGATATTATTACTCCTTTACCAAAGGTATGATTTAAAAATATTTTCTCCGATTTTGTGAGTTGTCTTTTCACTGTCTTAAATGAACAAAAGGTTTTAATTTTGATGAAGTCCAATTTTTTTTTTCTTTTCTTGACTGTGCTTTTGTCATGTCCAAGAAATCATAGTCAGATCCAGTTCCTAAAGGTTTTCCCTTTTTTTGTGTGTGGAAGGTTTATAGGTTTAACTCTTACATTTAGGTCTTTGATCCATTTTTGAGTTAATTTTTGTATTAGGTAAGGTTCAGGAGAACTTCTGTATGGTTATCCAGTTTCTCTAGCACCATTTGTTGAAAAGACTGACCTTTGCCCACAGAATGGTCTTGTCATATACTAACTCGAGTGTGTGTGTGAGCACACATGTATGTGAAATTTTTTTAACACATTGAAGACCATGGTACTGCATGTTTATACATAATTAGACTTTATTTGCTGCATAAACAGTTAAATACTGTTGTTAAATACTGTTATTGAGTTAATTTTGAAAGAAATTTTCTTTTTTTTTTACTTTTGGATCAATGTACTTGAAGAGTATCCTGACACTATGACCTATTTAAAATTTACAAGTAAACACAAAGATAGTAAAAGATGCTCTATTCTTGGCCCCCAAATTAAGTCTCAGAAACTATTAAAAGTTTTTGCCATACTGGGCATAATGGCATATACCTGTAATTCCAGCACTCTTTGAGGATCTAGAGTTTGAGACCACCCTGGGCTACATAGAAAGACTGTTTAAAACAAAACGAAAAGCTGCTACCAAAACAAAACAAAAACTTTTCCTTACAACTGTTTATCTGGGTGAAATCAAAACAAAATTTTGCAAAAGTAAAACTAATATCCCTAACTTACTTTTTTTTTGTTTTTTGCAGTATAGGCTTGAACTCAGGGCGTACACCTTGAGCCACGCCATCAGCCCTTTTTTGTGATGCAAGATAGGGTCTCATGAACTATTTACCTGGGCTGGCTTTGAACTGAGATCCTCCTGATCTCTGCTTCATGAGCAGCTAGGATTAGAGGTATGAGCCACCACCCGCCCCCCCCCACCCCAACTCCTGACCTACATTTTTGTCTTCTTGAATTTATAATAAATTAACATGATATATTTGAATATAAAAATAGTATTAGCAATACTTTAACCAATTTTATATTATCTAGAATACTGTATAAGATTTCATCTG